TAACCCTAACCCCCTAACCCTAACCCTAACTCCCTAACCCTAACCTCTAACCCCACCCTAAACTAACCCCAACCCTAACCCTAACTCCTAACTCCTAACCCTAACCCTAACCCTAACCCTAACCCTAACCCTAACCCTAACCCTAACCCTAACCCCTAACCCTAACCCTAACCCTAACCCTAACTCCTAACCCTAACCCTAACCCTTAACCCTAACCCTAACTCCCTAACCCTAACCCTAACCCTAACCCTAACCCTAACCCTAACCTCCTAACCCTAACCCTAACCCTAACCCTAACCCTTAACCCTAACCCTAACCCTAACCCTAACTCCTAACCCAACCCCCAACCCTAACCCCTAACCCTAACCCTAACCCTAACCCCAACCCTAACCCCTAACCCTAACCCTAACCCTAACCCTAACCCTAACCCTAACCTCTAATCCCTAATCCCTAACCCTAACCCTAACCCTAACCCTAACCCTAACCCTAACCCTAACCCTAACCCTAACCCTAACCCTAACCCTAACCCTAACCCTAACCCTAACCCTAACCCTAACCCTAACCCCTAACCCTAACCCTAACCCTAACCCTAACCCTAACCCTAACCCTAACCCTAACCCTAACCCTAACCCTAACCCTAACCCTAACCCTAACCCTAACCCTAACCCTAACCCTAACCCTAACCCTAACCCTAACTCCTAACCCTAACCCTAACCCTAACCCTAACCCTAACCCTAACCCTAACCCTAACCCTAACCCTAACCCTAACCCTAACCCTAACCCTAACCCTAACCCTAACCCTAACCCTAACCCTAACCCTAACCCTAACCCTAACCCTAACCCTAACCCTAACCCTACCCTAACCCTAACCCTAACCCTAACCCTAACCCTAACCCTAACCCTAACCCTAACCCTAACCCTAACCCTAACCCTAACCCTAACCCTAACCTAACCCTAACCCTAACCCTAACCCTAACCCTAACCCTAACCCTAACCCTAACCCTAACCCTAACCCTAACCCTAACCCTAACCCTAACCCTAACCCTAACCCCTAACCCTAACCCTAACCCTAACCCTAACCCTAACCCTAACCCTAACCCTAACCCTAACCCTAACCCTAACCCTAAAGGAAAAGAATGAGAGTTGGGTGATGGGAAAGGAAAGAATAAAGGAAAGAGGACATACGGTTACACGACAACAATTATAAATAAATGGGAATACGGAATTTGGACAAAAGTAACAGGACACGAATGTTCGGAGAGCAGGAGGAGCCTATAAAAGGCAGGAACAGACAGGAACAAAAATCAGTTTGGCACGAACCTCTGAGGGAGCAACCTCTCCTCACTGTAACCCATATAGGGGATATACTTACCTGCATGCTATGGCCTTTAGCCTGAGGAAGTCCCAAGAAGCGGACGAAACGTCGCGGCCAGCGCCACCTATAGACATGCAGAAGAAAAACACTGGTTAACCTACAAGGGAGGGAATTACAAGAGCCAAACCATTATACTTCATATAACAAAGGCGAACCTGTCTAACATGATCTAAATAGTAGATTATACAAACCCATACCTGGAAGATGGCGACGGAGGACTGGACGTCCTTGATGATGGCCCGTGCACTGTTGGGATCCACTTCGGTGGGTCCCAGCTCCTAGTTTTCACCTAACTTAGCCAGCGCCTCCTTGGACATATGTCTGGTCCTCCCACCCATGTTAAGCTATGCTAAGCTAACCCTAAATCCCTGCTCTACCCCAATTTAACATCAGTCCCAATTTGTCACTCTGATTCCCATTAATTGGCCTATCCCCTAGCCCATTTTGTGGCCCTAAACCTAAGGTCCTACAACCCTAATTAAGTCCCAACCCCAAAATCCCAGCCTCAAAACCCTAGCCTTACCTTATTCCGTGTTGAGGGAGCTCCACGAAGTCCATGAAATCCTAAGGGAAAAGGAAAAAAGTCCAGAATTAAAGTACACATAGCCACATTTAAGCACGATTAGACGGCACAAAAGTACTGGAAATATTGAATCACAAAATGTGAACACATACAGGTTAAAGGAAAAGAATGAGAGTTGGGTGATGGGAAAGGAAAGAATAAAGGAAAGAGGACATACGGTTACACGACAACAATTATAAATAAATGGGAATACGGAATTTGGACAAAAGTAACAGGACACGAATGTTCGGAGAGCAGGAGGAGCCTATAAAAGGCAGGAACAGACAGGAACAAAAATCAGTTTGGCACGAACCTCTGAGGGAGCAACCTCTCCTCACTGTAACCCATATAGGGGATATACTTACCTGCATGCTATGGCCTTTAGCCTGAGGAAGTCCCAAGAAGCGGACGAAACGTCGCGGCCAGCGCCACCTATAGACATGCAGAAGAAAAACACTGGTTAACCTACAAGGGAGGGAATTACAAGAGCCAAACCATTATACTTCATATAACAAAGGCGAACCTGTCTAACATGATCTAAATAGTAGATTATACAAACCCATACCTGGAAGATGGCGACGGAGGACTGGACGTCCTTGATGATGGCCCGTGCACTGTTGGGATCCACTTCGGTGGGTCCCAGCTCCTAGTTTTCACCTAACTTAGCCAGCGCCTCCTTGGACATATGTCTGGTCCTCCCACCCATGTTAAGCTATGCTAAGCTAACCCTAAATCCCTGCTCTACCCCAATTTAACATCAGTCCCAATTTGTCACTCTGATTCCCATTAATTGGCCTATCCCCTAGCCCATTTTGTGGCCCTAAACCTAAGGTCCTACAACCCTAATTAAGTCCCAACCCCAAAATCCCAGCCTCAAAACCCTAGCCTTACCTTATTCCGTGTTGAGGGAGCTCCACGAAGTCCATGAAATCCTAAGGGAAAAGGAAAAAAGTCCAGAATTAAAGTACACATAGCCACATTTAAGCACGATTAGACGGCACAAAAGTACTGGAAATATTGAATCACAAAATGTGAACACATACAGGTTAAAGGAAAAGAATGAGAGTTGGGTGATGGGAAAGGAAAGAATAAAGGAAAGAGGACATACGGTTACACGACAACAATTATAAATAAATGGGAATACGGAATTTGGACAAAAGTAACAGGACACGAATGTTCGGAGAGCAGGAGGAGCCTATAAAAGGCAGGAACAGACAGGAACAAAAATCAGTTTGGCACGAACCTCTGAGGGAGCAACCTCTCCTCACTGTAACCCATATAGGGGATATACTTACCTGCATGCTATGGCCTTTAGCCTGAGGAAGTCCCAAGAAGCGGACGAAACGTCGCGGCCAGCGCCACCTATAGACATGCAGAAGAAAAACACTGGTTAACCTACAAGGGAGGGAATTACAAGAGCCAAACCATTATACTTCATATAACAAAGGCGAACCTGTCTAACATGATCTAAATAGTAGATTATACAAACCCATACCTGGAAGATGGCGACGGAGGACTGGACGTCCTTGATGATGGCCCGTGCACTGTTGGGATCCACTTCGGTGGGTCCCAGCTCCCTAGTTTTCACCTAACTTAGCCAGCGCCTCCTTGGACATATGTCTGGTCCTCCCACCCATGTTAAGCTATGCTAAGCTAACCCTAAATCCCTGCTCTACCCCAATTTAACATCAGTCCCAATTTGTCACTCTGATTCCCATTAATTGGCCTATCCCCTAGCCCATTTTGTGGCCCTAAACCTAAGGTCCTACAACCCTAATTAAGTCCCAACCCCAAAATCCCAGCCTCAAAACCCTAGCCTTACCTTATTCCGTGTTGAGGGAGCTCCACGAAGTCCATGAAATCCTAAGGGAAAAGGAAAAAAGTCCAGAATTAAAGTACACATAGCCACATTTAAGCACGATTAGACGGCACAAAAGTACTGGAAATATTGAATCACAAAATGTGAACACATACAGGTTAAAGGAAAAGAATGAGAGTTGGGTGATGGGAAAGGAAAGAATAAAGGAAAGAGGACATACGGTTACACGACAACAATTATAAATAAATGGGAATACGGAATTTGGACAAAAGTAACAGGACACGAATGTTCGGAGAGCAGGAGGAGCCTATAAAAGGCAGGAACAGACAGGAACAAAAATCAGTTTGGCACGAACCTCTGAGGGAGCAACCTCTCCTCACTGTAACCCATATAGGGGATATACTTACCTGCATGCTATGGCCTTTAGCCTGAGGAAGTCCCAAGAAGCGGACGAAACGTCGCGGCCAGCGCCACCTATAGACATGCAGAAGAAAAACACTGGTTAACCTACAAGGGAGGGAATTACAAGAGCCAAACCATTATACTTCATATAACAAAGGCGAACCTGTCTAACATGATCTAAATAGTAGATTATACAAACCCATACCTGGAAGATGGCGACGGAGGACTGGACGTCCTTGATGATGGCCTCGTGCACTGTTGGGATCCACTTCGGTGGGTCCCAGCTCCTAGTTTTCACCTAACTTAGCCAGCGCCTCCTTGGACATATGTCTGGTCCTCCCACCCATGTTAAGCTATGCTAAGCTAACCCTAAATCCCTGCTCTACCCCAATTTAACATCAGTCCCAATTTGTCACTCTGATTCCCATTAATTGGCCTATCCCCTAGCCCATTTTGTGGCCCTAAACCTAAGGTCCTACAACCCTAATTAAGTCCCAACCCCAAAATCCCAGCCTCAAAACCCTAGCCTTACCTTATTCCGTGTTGAGGGAGCTCCACGAAGTCCATGAAATCCTAAGGGAAAAGGAAAAAAGTCCAGAATTAAAGTACACATAGCCACATTTAAGCACGATTAGACGGCACAAAAGTACTGGAAATATTGAATCACAAAATGTGAACACATACAGGTTAAAGGAAAAGAATGAGAGTTGGGTGATGGGAAAGGGAAAGAATAAAGGAAAGAGGACATACGGTTACACGACAACAATTATAAATAAATGGGAATACGGAATTTGGACAAAAGTAACAGGACACGAATGTTCGGAGAGCAGGAGGAGCCTATAAAAGGCAGGAACAGACAGGAACAAAAATCAGTTTGGCACGAACCTCTGAGGGAGCAACCTCTCCTCACTGTAACCCATATAGGGGATATACTTACCTGCATGCTATGGCCTTTAGCCTGAGGAAGTCCCAAGAAGCGGACTAAACGTCGCGGCCAGCGCCACCTATAGACATGCAGAAGAAAAACACTGGTTAACCTACAAGGGAGGGAATTACAAGAGCCAAACCATTATACTTCATATAACAAAGGCGAACCTGTCTAACATGATCTAAATAGTAGATTATACAAACCCATACCTGGAAGATGGCGACGGAGGACTGGACGTCCTTGATGATGGCCCGTGCACTGTTGGGATCCACTTCGGTGGGTCCCAGCTCCTAGTTTTCACCTAACTTAGCCAGCGCCTCCTTGGACATATGTCTGGTCCTCCCACCCATGTTAAGCTATGCTAAGCTAACCCTAAATCCCTGCTCTACCCCAATTTAACATCAGTCCCAATTTGTCACTCTGATTCCCATTAATTGGCCTATCCCCTAGCCCATTTTGTGGCCCTAAACCTAAGGTCCTACAACCCTAATTAAGTCCCAACCCCAAAATCCCAGCCTCAAAACCCTAGCCTTACCTTATTCCGTGTTGAGGGAGCTCCACGAAGTCCATGAAATCCTAAGGGAAAAGGAAAAAAGTCCAGAATTAAAGTACACATAGCCACATTTAAGCACGATTAGACGGCACAAAAGTACTGGAAATATTGAATCACAAAATGTGAACACATACAGGTTAAAGGAAAAGAATGAGAGTTGGGTGATGGGAAAGGAAAGAATAAAGGAAAGAGGGACATACGGTTACACGACAACAATTATAAATAAATGGGAATACGGAATTTGGACAAAAGTAACAGGACACGAATGTTCGGAGAGCAGGAGGAGCCTATAAAAGGCAGGAACAGACAGGAACAAAAATCAGTTTGGCACGAACCTCTGAGGGAGCAACCTCTCCTCACTGTAACCCATATAGGGGATATACTTACCTGCATGCTATGGCCTTTAGCCTGAGGAAGTCCCAAGAAGCGGACGAAACGTCGCGGCCAGCGCCACCTATAGACATGCAGAAGAAAAACACTGGTTAACCTACAAGGGAGGGAATTACAAGAGCCAAAACCATTATACTTCATATAACAAAGGCGAACCTGTCTAACATGATCTAAATAGTAGATTATACAAACCCATACCTGGAAGATGGCGACGGAGGACTGGACGTCCTTGATGATGGCCCGTGCACTGTTGGGATCCACTTCGGTGGGTCCCAGCTCCTAGTTTTCACCTAACTTAGCCAGCGCCTCCTTGGACATATGTCTGGTCCTCCCACCCATGTTAAGCTATGCTAAGCTAACCCTAAATCCCTGCTCTACCCCAATTTAACATCAGTCCCAATTTGTCACTCTGATTCCCATTAATTGGCCTATCCCCTAGCCCATTTTGTGGCCCTAAACCTAAGGTCCTACAACCCTAATTAAGTCCCAACCCCAAAATCCCAGCCTCAAAACCCTAGCCTTACCTTATTCCGTGTTGAGGGAGCTCCACGAAGTCCATGAAATCCTAAGGGAAAAGGAAAAAAGTCCAGAATTAAAGTACACATAGCCACATTTAAGCACGATTAGACGGCACAAAAGTACTGGAAATATTGAATCACAAAATGTGAACACATACAGGTTAAAGGAAAAGAATGAGAGTTGGGTGATGGGAAAGGAAAGAATAAAGGAAAGAGGACATACGGTTACACGACAACAATTATAAATAAATGGGAATACGGAATTTGGACAAAAGTAACAGGACACGAATGTTCGGAGAGCAGGAGGAGCCTATAAAAGGCAGGGAACAGACAGGAACAAAAATCAGTTTGGCACGAACCTCTGAGGGAGCAACCTCTCCTCACTGTAACCCATATAGGGGATATACTTACCTGCATGCTATGGCCTTTAGCCTGAGGGAAGTCCCAAGAAGCGGACGAAACGTCGCGGCCAGCGCCACCTATAGACATGCAGAAGAAAAACACTGGTTAACCTACAAGGGAGGGAATTACAAGAGCCAAACCATTATACTTCATATAACAAAGGCGAACCTGTCTAACATGATCTAAATAGTAGATTATACAAACCCATACCTGGAAGATGGCGACGGAGGACTGGACGTCCTTGATGATGGCCCGTGCACTGTTGGGATCCACTTCGGTGGGTCCCAGCTCCTAGTTTTCACCTAACTTAGCCAGCGCCTCCTTGGACATATGTCTGGTCCTCCCACCCATGTTAAGCTATGCTAAGCTAACCCTAAATCCCTGCTCTACCCCAATTTAACATCAGTCCCAATTTGTCACTCTGATTCCCATTAATTGGCCTATCCCCTAGCCCATTTTGTGGCCCTAAACCTAAGGTCCTACAACCCTAATTAAGTCCCAACCCCAAAATCCCAGCCTCAAAACCCTAGCCTTACCTTATTCCGTGTTGAGGGAGCTCCACTGAAGTCCATGAAATCCTAAGGGAAAAGGAAAAAAGTCCAGAATTAAAGTACACATAGCCACATTTAAGCACGATTAGACGGCACAAAAGTACTGGAAATATTGAATCACAAAATGTGAACACATACAGGTTAAAGGAAAAGAATGAGAGTTGGGTGATGGGAAAGGAAAGAATAAAGGAAAGAGGACATACGGTTACACGACAACAATTATAAATAAATGGGAATACGGAATTTGGACAAAAGTAACAGGACACGAATGTTCGGAGAGCAGGAGGAGCCTATAAAAGGCAGGAACAGACAGGAACAAAAATCAGTTTGGCACGAACCTCTGAGGGAGCAACCTCTCCTCACTGTAACCCATATAGGGGATATACTTACCTGCATGCTATGGCCTTTAGCCTGAGGAAGTCCCAAGAAGCGGACGAAACGTCGCGGCCAGCGCCACCTATAGACATGCAGAAGAAAAACACTGGTTAACCTACAAGGGAGGGAATTACAAGAGCCAAACCATTATACTTCATATAACAAAGGCGAACCTGTCTAACATGATCTAAATAGTAGATTATACAAACCCATACCTGGAAGATGGCGACGGAGGACTGGACGTCCTTGATGATGGCCCGTGCACTGTTGGGATCCACTCGGTGGGTCCCAGCTCCTAGTTTTCACCTAACTTAGCCAGCGCCTCCTTGGACATATGTCTGGTCCTCCCACCCATGTTAAGCTATGCTAAGCTAACCCTAAATCCCTGCTCTACCCCAATTTAACATCAGTCCCAATTTGTCACTCTGATTCCCATTAATTGGCCTATCCCCTAGCCCATTTTGTGGCCCTAAACCTAAGGTCCTACAACCCTAATTAAGTCCCAACCCCAAAATCCCAGCCTCAAAACCCTAGCCTTACCTTATTCCGTGTTGAGGGAGCTCCACGAAGTCCATGAAATCCTAAGGGAAAAGGAAAAAAGTCCAGAATTAAAGTACACATAGCCACATTTAAGCACGATTAGACGGCACAAAAGTACTGGAAATATTGAATCACAAAATGTGAACACATACAGGTTAAAGGAAAAGAATGAGAGTTGGGTGATGGGAAAGGAAAGAATAAAGGAAAGAGGACATACGGTTACACGACAACAATTATAAATAAATGGGAATACGGAATTTGGACAAAAGTAACAGGACACGAATGTTCGGAGAGCAGGAGGAGCCTATAAAAGGCAGGAACAGACAGGAACAAAAATCAGTTTGGCACGAACCTCTGAGGGAGCAACCTCTCCTCACTGTAACCCATATAGGGGATATACTTACCTGCATGCTATGGCCTTTAGCCTGAGGAAGTCCCAAGAAGCGGACGAAACGTCGCGGCCAGCGCCACCTATAGACATGCAGAAGAAAAACACTGGTTAACCTACAAGGGAGGGAATTACAAGAGCCAAACCATTATACTTCATATAACAAAGGCGAACCTGTCTAACATGATCTAAATAGTAGATTATACAAACCCATACCTGGAAGATGGCGACGGAGGACTGGACGTCCTTGATGATGGCCCGTGCACTGTTGGGATCCACTTCGGTGGGTCCCAGCTCCTAGTTTTCACCTAACTTAGCCAGCGCCTCCTTGGACATATGTCTGGTCCTCCCACCCATGTTAAGCTATGCTAAGCTAACCCTAAATCCCTGCTCTACCCCAATTTAACATCAGTCCCAATTTGTCACTCTGATTCCCATTAATTGGCCTATCCCCTAGCCCATTTTGTGGCCCTAAACCTAAGGTCCTACAACCCTAATTAAGTCCCAACCCCAAAATCCCAGCCTCAAAACCCTAGCCTTACCTTATTCCGTGTTGAGGGAGCTCCACGAAGTCCATGAAATCCTAAGGGAAAAGGAAAAAAAGTCCAAGAATTAAAGTACACATAGCCACATTTAAGCACGATTAGACGGCACAAAAGTACTGGAAATATTGAATCACAAAATGTGAACACATACAGGTTAAAGGAAAAGAATGAGAGTTGGGTGATGGGAAAGGAAAGAATAAAGGAAAGAGGACATACGGTTACACGACAACAATTATAAATAAATGGGAATACGGAATTTGGACAAAAGTAACAGGACACGAATGTTCGGAGAGCAGGAGGAGCCTATAAAAGGCAGGAACAGACAGGAACAAAAGTCAGTTTGGCACGAACCTCTGAGGGAGCAACCTCTCCTCACTGTAACCCAAACAGGGGATATACTTACCTGCATGCTATGGCCTTTAGCCTGAGGAAGTCCCAAGAAGCGGACGAAACGTTGCGGCCAGCGCCACCTATAAGACATGCAGAAGAAAAACAACTGGTTAACCAACATAAAACAAGGGAGGGAATTACAAGAGCCAAACCATTATACTTCATATAACAAAGGCGAACCTGTCTAACATGATCTAAACTAGTAGATTATAAAAAAAACCCATACCTGGAAGATGGCGACGGAGGACTGGACGTCCATGATGATGGCCCGTGCACTGCTGGGATCCACTCCGGTGGGTCCCAGCTCCTAGTTTTCACCTAACTTAGCCAGCGCCTCCTATGGACATATGTCTGGTCCTCCCACCCATGTTAAAAGCTAAGCTAAGCTAACCTAAACCCCTACTCTACCCCAATATAACATCAGTCCCACTTTGTCACCCTGATTCCCATTAATTGGCCTATCCCCTAGCCCATTTTGTGGCCCTAAACCTAAGGTCCTACAACCCTAAATTAAGTCCCAACCCCAAAATCCCAGCCTCAAAAACCCTAGCCTTACCTTATTCCGTGTCGAGGGGCTCCACGAAGTCCACAAAAACCTAAGAGAAAAGGAAAAAAGTCCAGAATTAAGTACACATAAGCCACATTTAAGCACAATTAGAAGGCAAAAAAGTACTGGAAACATTGAATCATAAATATGAACACATAAAGGTTAAAGGAAAAGAATGAGAGTTGGGTGAAGGGAAAGGAAGGAATAAAGGAAAGAGGACATACGGTTACACGAAAACAATTAATAACAAATGGGAATACGGAATATTGACAAAAGTAACGGGACACGAATGTTCGGAGAGTAGGAGGAGCCTATAAAAGGAGGAACAAACAGGAACACAAATCAGTTTGGCACAAACCTCTGAGGGAGCAACCTCTCCTCACTGTAACCCAAACAGGGGACATACTTACCTGCATGCTGTGGCCATAAGCCTGAGGAAGTCCCAAGATGAGGACGAAAACGTCGCGGCCAGCGCCACCTAGAAGACATGCAGAAGAAAAACAACAGGTTAACCAACATCAAAAACAAGGGAGGGAATTCTAAGAGCCAAACAAAAAAAAAAAAAAAAAAAAAAAAAAAAAAAAAAAAAAAAAAAAAAAAAAAAGAAAATGATACTTGATATAACAAAGGCGAACCTGTCTAACATAATCTAAACTAGTAGATTATAAAAAAACCCTTACCTGGAAGATGGCGACGGAGGACTGGACATCCATGGTGATGGCCCGTGCACTGCTGGGATCCACTCCGGTGGATTCCTGCTCCTGATTCTCACCTAACTCAGCCAGCGCCTCCTATGGACATATGTCCGGTCCTCCCACCCATTTAAAAGCTAAGCTAAGCTAACCTAAACCCCTACTCTACCCCAATATAACATCAGTCCCACTTTGTCACCCTGATTCCCATTAATTGGCCTATCCCCTAACCCATTTTGTGGCCCTAACCCTAAGGTCCTACAACCCTAAATTAAATCCCAGCCCCAGAATCCCAGCCTCAAAACCCTAGCCTTACCTTATTCCGTGTCGAGGGGTCCACGAAGTCCACAAAAACCTAAGGGAAAAGGAAAAAAGAAGTCCAAAGAATAAGTACAATAAGCCACATTTAAGCACAAATAGAAGGCAAAAAAGTACTGGAAACATTGAATCATAAATATGAACATATAAAGGTTAAAGGAAAAGAATGAGAGTTGGGTGGAGGGAAAAGGAGGTGATTAAGGAAACAGGACATACGGTTACACGAAAACAATTAATAACAAATGGAAATACGGAATATTGACAAAAGTAACGGGACACGAATGTTCGTAGAGTAGGAGGAGACTATAAAAGGAGGAACAAACAGGAACACAAATCAGTTTGGCACAAACCTCTGAGGGAGCAACCTCTCCTCACTGTAACCCAAACAGGGGACATACTTACCTGCATGCTGTGGCCATAAGCCTGAGGAAGTCCCGAGATGAGGACGAAACGTCGCGGCCAGCGCCACCTAGAAGACATGCAGAAGATAAAACAACAGGTTAACCAACATCAAAAACAAGGGAGGGAATTATAAGAGCCAAACAAAAAAAAAAAAAAAAAAAAAAAAAAAAAAAAAAAAAAAAAAAAAAAAAAAAGAGAAATATGATACTTGATATAACAAAGGCGAACCTGTCTAATATAATCTAAACTAGTAGATTATAAAAAAACCCTTACCTGGAAGATGGCGACGGAGGACTGGACATCCATGGTGATGGCCCGTGCACTGCTGGGATCCACTCCGGTGGATCCCTGCTCCTAATTCTCACCTAACTCAGCCAGCGCCTCCTATGGACATATGTTCGGTCCTCCCACCCATTTAAAAGCTAAGCTAAGCTAACCTAAACCCCTACTCTACCCCAATATAACATCAGTCCCACTTTGTCAACCTGATTCCCATTAATTGGCCTATCCCCTAACCCAATTTGTGGCCCTAACCCTAAGGTCCTACAACCCTAAATTAAATCCCAGCCCCAGAATCCCAGCCTCAAATACCCTAGCCTTACCTTATTCCGTGTCGAGGGGTCCACGAAGTCCACAAAAGCCTAAGAGAAGGGAAAAGAAGTCCAAAGATAAGTACAATAAGCCACATTAAGCACAAAAAGAAGGCAAATAAGTACTGGAAACATTGAATCATAAATATGAACATATAAAGGTTAAAGGAAAAGAATGAGAGTTGGGTGGAGGGAAAAGGAGGGGGATAAAGGAAACAGGACATACGGTTACACGAAAACAATTAATAACAAATGGAAATACGGAATATTGACAAAAGTAACGGGACACGAATGTTCGTAGAGTAGGAGGAGACTATAAAAGGAGGAACAAACAGGAACACAAATCAGTTTGGCACAAACCTCTGAGGGAGCAACCTCTCCTCACTGTAACCCAAACAGGGGACATACTTACCTGCATGCTGTGGCCATAAGCCTGAGGAAGTCCCGAGATGAGGACGAAACGTCGCGGCCAGCGCCACCTAGAAGACATGCAGAAGATAAAACAACAGGTTAACCAACATCAAAAACAAGGGAGGGAATTCTAAGAGCCAAACAAAAAAAAAAAAAAAAAAAAAATAAAAAAAAAAAAACTAAAAACAGAAAAAAAAAAAAAAAAAAAAAAAAAAAAATAAAAAAAAAAAAAAAAAAAAAAGAAATATGATACTTGATATAACAAAGGCGAACCTGTCTAATATAATCTAAACTAGTAGATTATAAAAAAACCCTTACCTGGAAGATGGCGACGGAGGACTGGACATCCATGGTGATGGCCCGTGCACTGCTGGGATCCACTCCGGTGGATTCCTGCTCCTGATTCTCACCTAACTCAGCCAGCGCCTCCTATGGACATATGTTCGGTCCTCCCACCCATTTAAAAGCTAAGCTAAGCTAACCTAAACCCCTACTCTACCCCAATATAACATCAGTCCCACTTTGTCACCCTGATTCCCACTAATTGGCCTATCCCCTAACCCATTTTGTGGCCCTAACCCTAAGGTCCTACAACCCTAAATTAAATCCCAGCCCCAGAATCCCAGCCTCAAAAACCCTAGCCTTACCTTATTCCGTGTCGAGGGTCCACGAAGTCCACAAAAAACCTAAGAGAAGGAAAAAGAAGTCCAAAAAATAAGTACAATAAGCCACATTTAAGCACAAAAAGAAGGCAAATAAGTACTGGAAACATTGAATCATAAATATGAACAAATAAAGGTTAAAGGAAAAGATTGAGAGTTGGGTGGGAGGGAAAGGAAGGGGATAAAGGAAACAGGACATACGGTTACACGAAAACAATTAATAACAAATGGAAATACGGAATATTGACAAAAGTAACGGGACACGAATGTTCGGAGAGTAGGTGGAGACTATAAAAGGAGGAACAAACAGGAACACAAATCAGTTTGGCACAAACCTCTGAGGGAGCAACCTCTCCTCACTGTAACCCAAACAGGGGACATACTTACCTGCATGCTGTGGCCATAAGCCTGAGGAAGTCCCAAGATGAGGACGAAACGTCGCGGCCAGCGCCACCTAGAAGACATGCAGAAGATAAAACAAAAGGTTAACCAACATCAAAAACAAGGGAGGGAATTATAAGAGCCAAACAACAAAAAACACAAAAAGACAAAAAAAAAAAAAAAATGTAAAAATACAAAAAAAACAAAAAATGGATACTTGATATAACAAAGGCGAACCTGTCTAACATAATCTAAACTAGTAGATTATAAAAAAACCCTTACCTGGAAGATGGCGACGGAGGACTGGACATCCATGGTGATGGCCCGTGCACTGCTGGGATCCACTTCGGTGGATTCCTGCTCCTGATTCTCACCTAACTCAGCCAGCGCCTCCTATGGACATATGTTCGGTCCTCCCACCCATTTAAAAGCTAAGCTAAGCTAACCTAAACCCCTACTCTACCCCAATATAACATCAGTCCCACTTTGTCACCCTGATTCCCACTAATTGGCCTATCCCCTAACCCATTTTGTGGCCCTAACCCTAAGGTCCTACAACCCTAAATTAAATCCCAGCCCCAGAATCCCAGCCTCAAAACCCTAGCCTTACCTTATTCCGTGTCGAGGGTCCACGAAGTCCACAAAAAGCCTAAGAGAAGGAAAAAAAGTCCAAAGAATAAGTACAATAAGCCACATTTAAGCACAAAAAGAAGGCAAATAAGTACTGGAAACATTGAATCATAAATATGAACAAATAAAGGTTAAAGGAAAAGATTGAGAGTTGGGTGGAAGGAAAAGGAGGTGGATAAAGGAAACAGGACATACGGTTACACGAAAACAATTAATAACAAATGGAAATACGGAATATTGACAAAAGTAACGGGACACGAATGTTCGGAGAGTAGGTGGAGACTATAAAAGGAGGAACAAACAGTAACACAAATCAGTTTGGCACAAACCTCTGAGGGAGCAACCTCTCCTCACTGTAACCCAAACAGGGGGACATACTTACCTGCATGCTGTGGCCATAAGCCTGAGGAAGTCCCAAGATGAGG